CGGTCAAGTAGATACTTCCTTCATAAGGCTACATCAATTAGAGTATTATTGGTACTAGTGACCAAGTGTGGCATTCTCGAAAATTCCAGAAGATTTCTTGAGGTGCAATGTTTTACAGTAGTCTAGTGTCTATAGCACTGGTACTACTAGCTATTCTTAATTGCGATACAAAGTGAAGAAAAAAAACAATTAAAATAACGAAGTGTATACATACCTGGTAATCGGGAACAAAGTCACGAAGTATACAGACCCGGTAAGGGAACTCTTTTGTGATTTCGGAAAGTTTCAGCGCCCAGACCCGGTAGTGTGTGTGTGTGTGTGTGTGTGTGTGTGTTTGAGAGAGAGAGAGAGAGAGAGAGAGAGAGAGAGAGAGAGAGAGAGAGAGAGAGAGAGAGAGAGAGGGGGGGGGAGAGAAAGAGCAGGGGGAAGTGCTAGCAAAATGTATGACATGCCCCAGTTGGCAGGAGGGAACGAGAGAAAGATATAGACGTCTAGTGGAAAATAGGTACCCTTATTCCTACCCCTAACCCTCTATATTCTACTCTGTCTGTCCCATCATCATAGATCTAGATTCTATAATCTAATTCTAGATCTAGATCTTGTCTAGATTTCTAGATCTAGAATCTAGATCTAGATCTAGATCTAGATCTAGATCTAAATCTAGATCTAGATTCTAGATCTAGATTGGCCGTCGTTATTCGGACTCGGGTCCGGAAAAAAGGAAGTGTCATCGTTCTATAGATCTAATGTTCAGTGCTTCCAATTTTCCGCCATTTTTTAGTTTCCCCCACACCTTATCTGCCAATCCAATGCCCGCCACCTCAATGATACGCCCACGTTTCCCACTTTCTTTGTTGTAGAAAAAGGTAAAATTGAAGATTAGCAGACCACCTGGCACCTGCATATTATGAGCTGTGTAAAAAAAAAAAAAAGACCGATTCGTTCAAATACACAAGCCTGTGTCATATTGATTGTTTACCAAGAAAAAGTTGTGTTGCTGTGTAGAGCTGAGCATACGGCAACTTTTGATTCCATAGACCAGCGCACAATTCATTACGTAGATCTACGTCAAGACTAGCTTATTGTAATAATGATCAGTTGCCGGGGGGAAAAAGACTGACGCGTATGCGATGTTCAAAGCCCGGACCAATAGTGCCCCCTCACCACCCTCCCCGACACGCACACAGCCACACGTGTGCAGGCCGCCCATCCGACCCCGACACACGCTAACGAGCCATCTTTAATTGCTTCTGATGACCTCTTGACAAATAAACATTTATTAGAAGCGCTATAACTTTTCAGGCCGGCCTCAAATTCATCATAAGATTAAAACTCGGCTCCTGCACAAAACGCCTTTTTGCCCGAAGTGATCCCGGTCTCTACCCAGCCTGAGGCGAGTCACGAGTGAGGCAGGACAGGAAGCCGGATTCACGAGTCACAGGAAGTCGGAAGTGATGTCATGCTGGACAAGAATCAGAGTCCAAATAACATTTTTTCATATTAGGACTCGAGTCCGAATAATCACTTCGATCTAGATTAGTGGTCACTCGTTACAGAAGCCATCTCTAATTTTCACTGATATGAAATTTTCCTAGTCTATGTCCACGACCCTAAAGTCCTACAGAGTGTAATAATGT